TTCATTCCGTTTTTTATTTTAAACCAAACTTGATCTTGACATTTTCAGTAAGATTTTCATAGAGATGCTCCTGGGGCCTTCTGCTCAAAATTTGGACAACTTCATGCCCGTGACATGACATCATTTTACACATTAGATAAAATGAAAATCGGATGAGATGGACAAATTCAGAAGGGATAGAATTTACTGACGTGTTTGAATACGTGGCATGGCAATTGCCTTTCGCAGGATGAAAATATTCATTGTACTTTTCTTTAATCACAAATGTTGTGGGTCTCCCTGGAGTCTAGAAAATCTCTCCTATTTCTTAATTACCAAATCTTGGGTTGCACGTAGCTTTCTCGTTGTTCCTGTTGCCCCCAGGGCTGTCTCTGCCATTTCCTCTGAAAACAACTATACATTAACATTCAAGGTTTGAGTCGGGGGCTGGGAGGCGAAGGGAAAGGTGATAATTCAGATGTTATGAAACTGTGATAATGCTATTATTTAAGGCACTTATTTGGGTATGTTTATACTTTGTAGTTTTATAAATAAGCCCAAGGGGCTCCTCTTGGTTGTCACAGTCCCCCTTGAATCTCGTATCCTGTCTGTCTCATCCTATCCGACAGTAGAATTGATGCCGCTCTAATCCCTGGAAGTTTGGAACTAATGAACTGACTGCTGAGCTGCCGCCACGGAGCTTGGTCCCAAACTATACTGTACTTCACACTCGATTTATTCTCCAGATGGCGAGACTGTGCCGCCCTGCCGCGAGGGACCACCTCTTCCACTGGAGTGTAAAAGTGGACGGATGTTGTTTTCTTTGCAGATTTGATCATTCTGAGCTAGAAACTTGCGAGGATGATTAGTTATTAGCTTTAATGGGTGCCAATTGAACCAACTGCACGCATATTTTCTCCTTTAATTTCAGAGTCTGCAGGTTTTGGTGATGGTTGATTTCTCCGCTTTCTTACGTCACCAGAGCGTGTCTCTTCCCCAGGTGATAGGAATCCAGTCTCTGAAATCATAGCACGCCTTGGTTCCCGGCCCAGACAGAGTCACATAATACGGTGGCTTATGGATAAGGACAAGTTTATTAGCCACTGGTCCACTGCACTGAGCAGCATGGCACGAAATAGCGATTGAATGCGGCAACTTTGGGAACACCATTTTTTAGAATGGGGGCCTGCAAAGATTGTAATCTGTGCCAACTTCCTCTGTGACCTGGGCAGAGTCCACCTCTGGAATCAAACATGATCCAGAACGCACTATGGTACTTAGTCTCTTCAAAGGTCCAATGTAACTGTTGATAAAGGCCTTAATTCCATTATTCAGTCATCTCCAGCTTGTCAGATCTTGGGGGACAAGTTCATTCCACAGTGAGAGTGGCTCACCAAGGTTGCCCTGTAGCATTAACATATTTAGAACGCAGTCCCTCTGAAACCTCATTTTAAGCAACCTGTATTGCTCCCAGAATATAAAAGCCCCCATAAAAGCTCTTTTTGGGGTGGCCTCTTTTACCTTAATTTCCTTTTTCTCCTTTCTCCCGGAAGCACTTACCTCCCAATAATCGTAGGGGATCACCCTGAGAGCCCTTCTGAGAGCCGGCTCAGCCAGACGGCCTGTTGCTAATCCACCTAAGATGGATATTGGAGGGATGGTCAGAGCCGACCAGGAGCCAAAGAAAGGGAGAAAAAAAGAAGGAAAGTGTGAAGCGTGAAGGACGAGGTGGTGGAGATGAGAGAGAGCTGAGCGCGCTGTTAGCAAGAAGTACAGTGTGTGTTGCAGAGAGAGAGGGAACAAGTGAGAGAATAAAATGAACAGAATTTGTTTCTTTTCACAACTGGGTGGACTGTGACTCTCTCGAACTGAACGCCCAGAACTAAACTTAATTGTTCTTAGAAACTGCCTTCCTCCCAACCCAACAGATGGCATGGGCGTGTTTGCTAGCACAGTCACATATTTCACCCTGAAAATACCAAAAAGAAAAAAAAATTCAACATGCTCGTTGGTTGGGATAAATTCACTGAAGTTGTTGAGTGTTTTGGGATATATACCAGAGGGATGTACACTTGGTTTATGTAAATTGTAACAAGCAACAGCCTGTTAATAAGGGTGTTGTATGGCAATATACCTCAAAAGCCATCCTCTCTTTTTGGAAAGGTACAGAATGATGAAGTGGAAAGAGCTTGGTTTTCATTCTGAGCCAAAATTTTTTAAATGCTGAGTATTCACTGCTTATTATTATAATATGAAAAGTACTAATCAGATTATGCCTAAAATTGGAATTAGGTACTTCATTTGCAGCCAATTTCACAAGGGCCGAATTTTGCTAAGTAAACTGGAATGTGCTGAAACCATAGCAATCTGACTTTAGATAAAAATCGCAAACAGGTTTAGAACATGAGCTTTGAACAAACAGTCCCTTCAAATCCAAGTGAAGCCAAACAGCTTTGAGATCGGATTTTGTTTGACACCAACCAACATTAACAATTTAGGAAGTTGATGTTGCCAGGGATCCCGCATCCTTGAGCACACATGCAAATTAGATGATGGAGAAGATGACTCAAATAACTTAAGCTTTAAAATGCAGTATGGCCTAAAAAATCGAGTGAGTTCCCTTCAGTTTTCCATTCATACTATCCCAGTAGACTCTTTGCAAGGCTGACTTAGCTATTAAAGGGGAACCTGAAAGTTATGTTGCCAAACTCCAGCAATTTCGGTTTTTTGTAGCTGCATAGGCTGCACAGAGCAGAACATGCTTTAGATTGTCCACAGCCATGGATCTAAATGTACCTTCGAAAAAGCTGGAAGAGTTTTTTAGTTTGCTTGTTTTCATTTTTGAGATGAAGTCTTGCTCTGTGTCCTATGCTGGAGTGCAGAAGTGCAGTCTCGGCTCACTGCAACCTCTACCTCTTGAGTTCCAGCGATTCTCCTGCCTCAGCCTCCCGAGTAGCTGGAACTACAGGCACGTGCCACCACGCCCGGCTAATTTTTGTATTTTTAGTAGAGATGGGGTTTCACCATGTTGGCCAAGCCAGTCTCGAACTCTTGACCTCAGGTGATCCGCCCCCTCAGCCTCCCAAAGTGCTGGGATCACAGGTGTGAGCCACCGTGCCAGGCCAGAACTCAAGTATTTCTCCCAGCAGCTCTAGACGGCTTTAGAGCCAAGATACTGAGCTAACTTCTGCCCTTCACCTTCAAGATTTTCGTATTTAGGGCCAGGCGCCATGGCTCACACCTGTAATCCTAGCACTTTGGGAGGCCGAGTCGGGTGGATCACCTGATATCAGGAATTCGAGGTCAGCCTGGCCAACACAGTGAAACCCCGTCTCTACTAAAAATACAAAACTTAGCTGAGTGTGGTGGTGGGTGCCTGTAGTCTCAGCTACTCGGGAGGCTGAGGCAGGAGAATCACTTGAACTCCGGAGGCAGAGATTGCAGTGAGCCGAGATCACGCCACTGCACTCCAGCCTGGGTGACAGAGTGAGACTCTATCTCAAAAAAAAAAAAAAAAAAAAAAGAGTGCATGATAGAGCAAGTGGGCAAGTTTTGTATCTATGGAATAAAACAAAGGTATGATGTGGAACCAAGCCATTGTTGGCTATATCATCTCTGACTTTAGCTAGTCCGAGCTCTCTGTTGCTTTTGTCTAAGCTTGGCCTAATTATTGGCAGCTGAAGCTCGGTAAATCAGGACTTCACAGAGCGGTCCTAAACTGTCTTAGGTACTCTTTCCATCTGACCTGACAACTCTAAGCTACCGTTTCCTCACATTGTTTAACTCAGACCACATTTGGAAGCCTTCCTTGCTCCTCCCCACTCATACACCCACATCTGTCTGGTTTAAATCTGCTGTCCTAGGTTGTCTTGTTGCTTGGACTTAGACTCAATATTGGCTTAAATGATTCTTTTTTGTCTCTACTTTTGTTTGCTATTTTTCTAGATCAGTATTGCTTTTCAAATGGCTATGTATTGTGGAGACTTTTTTTTAAACTACATTCATCAGCAGTGAGAAGCTTTAAAGTTTTATTAGTATCATAAAAACCCTTCCCAAATGAAACTACTTTTGATAAGTGTTCATTCTGACAATGAGAATTTGTTGAGGGCTGTTGGCAAGTTGGAGGAGTTTGCTTTTGAAACTGAAATTGGCAGGAAGTAATGACCTCAAGTGCTTTCTTTCTCTTGACTCCAGCCCTCACCCTTTCCATGCACTTCTTTCTCTCCCCCACCCCACCTTCATCACCCCCAAGCTGAAACCAATAAATAACATACTTGGTTTCATATAGTTTTTCTGGGGACAGTTCAAATACTGAAGCAGACTTTCAGCCTTTCAGCTTTTCTGAACTGTGGAGCAGAGCCTGTCAAGTCAAAGAAAAAAATGTGTTTGTCAAGCCCTTCATGAAGGGATTCCTTGCCTTCCACCTGAAGAAGTGGGAGCTTTTTTTGTAGTACGCATTGTCAGATTCCTGTGAGCATCTTCTTAATTGAATGTCAAGATTCAACTCAGTTGCAATAAAATAGTGAGTAAAAAAAAAAAAAGCATGCTACATGTGGAAAAAGAAAAATCCTTATTTTTTCCCTAATGTGAAGAAGCTGACAGAGAGACGGCCACAATCTAGATGTTAGCCAATTTCTTATGTTTATTAAATGAGAAAGTGCAGGTAAAGAACATAGAACCATGCTTAGCACTTCGTTAATGCTCAATCAGTGAAAAATTACCCATTAACCATTTTCCCCTTCCAATTGGGAAGTAATGCTAATGAGAAAGACGACACTCCCACTGTGGCATTGCAGTGCGTCTCGGCTATGTTACAGCTGTGGCGAATGAAGCCTAGAAATCAACTGCTCACCTTTCAGACTGGATGACTTCTTTCAAATATTACTTGTTTGGTGGACAGGAAATGTGTAGATAGAGTAATGGTGCTCAGACTCTGAATCCACGTAACAGTTTCATAAACCATTTGATGGTGCTCCCCTCAGTGATAAAAATAACAATAAACTTTTTATTGACACTTATAGAATGAAGCTCGACTGAGAATTGTAAAAACTCTTGAAGACTTTGATCTGGGCCCTACTGAAAAATGTGTGAGAGTCAATTCAGTTTCCAGCGGTCTGGCAGAAGAAGATCTAGAGACCCTTTTGCAATCCCGGGTCCTTCCTTCCAGCCTGATGCTACCAAAGGTGGAAAGTCCTGAAGAAATCCAGTGGGTGAGTAGCTAATGCTTTGCTTTAAGATTCAGGAGAGGCCGGGCGCTGTGGCTCACGCCTGGAATCCCAGCACTTTGGGAGGCCGAGGCAGGCAGATCACGAGGTCAGGATATCGAGGCCATCCTGGCTAACATGGTGAAACCCCGTCTCTATTAAAAACACAAAAAATTAGCTGGGCGTGGTGGTGGGCGCCTGTAGTCCCAGCTACTCTGGAGGCTGAGGCAGGAGAATGGCGTGAACCCGGGAGGCGGAGCTTGCAGTGAGCCGAGATCGCGCCACTGCACTCCAGCCTGGGCCACAGAGCGAGACTCCGTCTCAAAAAGACTCAAGAGCAGCTAAGGAGGAGTGGCAAGAAGAAGGGATCTGGGTGCCACAGGTTTGGAAAATGCACGCACAGAGCAGAGAGGAAGGGATTTGAGAAAAAGCAGTAAGCGCAAGAATCCGTTTCTTTCACACAAGGAAAACTCGCCTTTGCCCAAATGCACTTTTGAAATGATGCTTTGCTTCCTAATTGGATGTGTGGTTTGGCCAGAACAAGCTCCTCAGTAGCCCTCCTAGAGTAATCCCTGGAAACTAGGTTGCCCGAGAATTTCATCCCTTCCTCCACCCTGCCCGGCCCTGAGGCAAGGCCTCCACCTGGAAGAGCAGTGACGTAAGTGGCCCTTACTGAGATTCATCTGAAATCATCCCAGGCAGGGAGGGCACATTTGCTGCATATGAAAAAATGAACCCAAAGAAGGGGAGGAAAAGGTCACTCTTTAGGGCAACTGGAGGAATGAACAGGAAGCTTTTAACTAGTGGTTTTAATTAGCACTGATATTATTTCCTGAGCAGTTCTCTAGTGCATCCTTTTTAAATTGCTGACAGGTGTGTTTGTGTTTCATGACAGACTTTTCAGCCAATAAAAACCTGAAATGTAAAGTGGTTGGCATGTCAAATTACTTAAGAAAACTTTTGAAATGGGCCTGATTACACCATGATTGTTTTAATTGACAAAGGGTGGAGGGGCTAGATTTTATTTGAGGGTCGCTATTCTTCTGCAGATCTCCACTGAATAAAATAACATTTCACTGGGTCATTCTGGGGCAGAGAATGTGTCATTCTGGGGCCTGTGAGGTGTGAAAACTGGAAGCATTTGTGGTCGGGGCGAGTGGTCAGTGGTGGTTTCGTGGAAGGCACCTCTAGTATTACCTCTGAGGCTATGGCTGCCACCACAGCAATAGCCTGAGTTGTCATAGCACCTACGAAACTGCTCACCTGCTGAATGCACCCAGTGTGTCAGGTCTGTGCTGCCCAGTGCCACGGCCACTATGACATGTGGCTTCTGAGCATTGAAACGTGGCCAGCACAAATTGAGATGTGCTGAAAGTGCAAAATACACACTCGATTTTGAAGACTTGGGACTCACCGAGAGGACAAAAAGAGAATGTAAACTATCTCCATAATTTTTATATTGATTACACATTGAAATAACATTTGGGATCTGTTGGGTTGAATGCAAGACACTGTTAAAATTAAATTCACCTGTTTCAGTCTACCCTCTTAATGTAGCTACGAGAAAATTTAAAATTACATATGTAGCTGCTGCTATGCAGTTTCTTTTGGACAGCTCTGTGTTGGATCCTTCCCGAAGACCCGTATTCAAGGACCAGTATTTATTGACTAAGCTGGAGTTCTTCTCTCCAGGGTTACCCTCAGAAGCTGGGAGATACTAGTTAGAGTATGTTAATATCCTGAAGGGCCCTGAGCCCATTCAGATATGTCTTAAGTTGATTGAAATGGACTCTGAAGTCACTGTTCCCTTTTGGTTTCATAGTTAATGCCTATTTATCACCGTTATTACCCTTAATTTCAGACAGGGGAGGGGGAGACCCAGCCAGCCTTCAGCTATGGCTTCTGTTCGCTGTTTTAAATCCTTGGAAGTGAGATACACACAGAAATTTAAATAGGACTTCTAGTTAACAGAAGTCCTTTTGGCTGTTTATTTTTTCCTCTCCGTTTGTATTTATGTGAAGCATAAAACCCAGAGCCTGATGCACAACTGAAAGATGGGCTTACTTGTTTTCTTTTGTGTGAGAATCTCTTGCTCGCCTTTTGTCGCTAGTGTGGGTTCTTGTTTGACTGGCACGGCTTATTGGACTATAACAAGCGTAACCCTGCCTCCTTTGTCATGGGACAATTCTCCCACAAATCCCGAACAGTGTGCATTCTTCCAACACACTATTGGGTGTGCACTGGAATTGAAAGAATTGCTGAGCCCTGCTACTTCATCTCCTCCCCAATCTCTTTGTGATTTCTCCCCCTTCTTCTCCTCCCCCTACCCCAGTCCCCTCCACCTCACTGAAATGAACACTTTACCAGGCCGGAAACATTTAATCGTCTCCTTTTGAAAAAATTAATTGAAACTTCTCCACTAGTTACCTTTTGTGTTAGTACTTAATGCAATTTTTTAAGAAAGAGCGGGAGGAGGAGGAGGAGGAGGAGGATGGGCCAGAATATTTAATTTTTAAATGCCCCTATTGGCTTAAAAACAAAAGGCATTAGGGGTGTTCTCACTAGGAACAGGGAATATATTGTAAAGCGTTGACTTGGTTTTAAAGTCCATGATTTTTGTAGTTATAACTGTCATCACAAAGAACGGGGCAAGTCACTTCACAAGTTTTCTTTTTTTCATGAAAAAAAAATCCCTACTACATTTTTAACACCAAAACCACTAATACTGTGCTACCACTTTCTAGCATAAATGAGAAATACATTATGTTTTATTTTCATCTACATCAAATACTATACATTTTATCCCCTTAAATTGTCGCCCTCTGCTCCTTCTTGCTATTTTGGTTGAGTTATTCCTTCCCTTGAAAAGTTACTAAGGAGGTGATGATGATGTCCTTTGAAGGGGGGGGCAGTGGGAGCAACTGGGAATAATTCTTCATTACTGAAAGCTGTGATTTATTTTAGCCTAATTGTAAAGTTACTGCAAATTGCTCAAAAGCTTTTTAAAGATCCCAGTGATTAGATTTTTTAGGGGGGTGGTGCACCGGCAAGGAGGGGGCAGCTAGAAGGGGAAATAACACCTCTAATCCCGCTTCTGGTAAATAGGCTGCCAGCTTTTCAAATGAGTTTCCTTTCTATTAGTCAGAATATTATGCTAAGCCTTAAGCATTAGTTTTTTTATGTTACCATAGCAGCCTTATTCCTGCAGGGTGGTGACCTGTGATGATTACAGTACAAAGCTTATAGGGTCTTGAAACCCCCTTTGAAGATGAAAAGTCTTTGATGGTTTATATTTATGCAAATCTCTTAGATATGATTTACCCAACTGAGACTGAATGGAGAGATGATTAAAATTCCCTTTTCCTTTGATATCTATTAATGGCTGAATATTTCTTAAATTTAAAATGGATATCTATGTTTTCATCTTTATTTACAAAAATATCTTTATCATACCTGTATTTCTTTTCCATCTCCCCACATCTTATTAGATCTAGAGAGACATAATAGATTTACAATTTAGAGTGTGTTTTTCCCTCTTTTTGAAGGGGGGGAGGAATCTGGGCAAGAGCTTTTGTATGTTTCCAGATGATAGATTTTGGAATTTGGGCTACCCCACTGGCAGCACAGAGCTAGCTGTGAACTGGTCTCATGGAAAAAATTGGCGAGCTTTGGTCTTCAAAGAATTAAACTTCCTTTTTAAGGTCTTCCTAGGTAAGCTAAAAAATTATGAAGAAAAACCTTCTGAACAAAGGGTAATGGTGCTATAATGAATAATATGGAAGGAAGGCTGCTGAACAGTTACACTGATGTCAGTGCTGGGCACGAAACAAAAGCAGAATGGCAGGTAGAGGAAGACTTCATTGTTTTAAGGGCCTACCATTTGCATTTAACGAAGCGAGGGCAAGAGGCCTTCAGTAAATACGTTTTCAGGGAAAGCGTTTATACTCTCTGCTTCCAGTTCTAACTCCTAGGCCTCAAGGTGCTCCTTTGGGAGAAAAAAATTGTAACGCTTGGGATTTTACTATTTAGTTTAGTGGGAACTTCATTACCTTTTTCTTTGGTCTTCTTCTTTTTTAAAAAAATTCTTTTGTGTGGACGAAAGGGGCTTGGATATTACTTCCTCAGGTCAAAGACTTAAATACTACTTCTGTGTCTACATTTCCGTGATTGTACATTTTTTCCCCACTAATCACCTATGACACTTCTGATTTTAGTTTGCAGACAAATTTTCATTCCACTTAAAAGGCCGAAAACTTGAACAACCAATGAATTTAATCCCTTTTGTGGAAACTGCAATGGGTTTGCTCAATTTTAAGGTAAGAAAGCCATAATATGGTTAATAAGTTAGCATTTTATTTATCACCTAAAGAGAACTTTTGCTTTCAATTTTAACATCTTCTTAAAATGTGTTTCTAGAAAGATTTATAAGCAAAGGAAACGTTGAACACCATTTGTTATCTGTAATAGTCCGAAAACCAAGTTACCAGCATCTTAGAAAACAATGAAATCAGTTAAGTAGAAGGAAAAGCTTCCCAGTCCAAAATATTTAAATGAAGCATTTATATATTCCTAGTAACAATTTTAATTAATCACTGTGTAATTATATGCCTTGAATTATTGCATTTATAGACTAAATGTACATGAAAATTTATTTTGTCACCCTTATGAATTAACTTTGAAATGTTCTTTTCTATCAATTGTCTTTTCATTGGGAAATTTTCTGCCCTCTCTGTAGCAACATTATCAGTAATGGCTAGCAGAGAAGATTATTGTTTGTAAGTTCATGCACACAAATAATTTGCAGTACATTTTTTCAATTTGCCATATTAGAACATCGAATATCTTCTAATATACATGCGGGAATATTAGCTGAGCCAAGGGTTTTCAACCGCTGTGTGGTTGCACTAAACTACCTGCCTTAACAAATTCAGAGCTAGCTCGTCTTTTCTCGTTTATCAGGGGGCATTTATATTATTTTCCAAAATATGCCTCTCATTCCACCTGACCTGCAAACATCAATCTAGCACCCCCTTTCAGAGTTCCTGGACTCCCAGCCCCCACAGAAGGCAGGAGCAAAGAAATAACTAAAAACAACAGAAAAAAACATAGTCGAACTATACTGGAGAGAGAACGTGTGAGCGGCAACTCTGAGGCCTTGGGATGTGTGGAAGGGGGTCGAGTGCAAATGTTTGGGGAGCTGCTTCAAGACTTGTCCTGTGAACTGCTTGTTTACACAACTAACCATAAATTCTTCCAGCTAGCCCCAGAATCCTGAGAATATAATCAAAAGCATATCCCTTAGATGCAACCAGATTCATCCAGTGATTTAATTTTTAAGCACTGCTTCACTATTTTATTCCATAATGTACTTAGAAGCACTTAGAATGTCTGAAATTAATCAACAGTGTCTCCACCGGTTCCTCGTTTCTTTCCCACCCACATATATTAGCAGGTTATATCTCCACCTTTCAAGATTCATGGTTATGTCTATGACAAATGGTATTTGCCTTGACTTTCATATATAAATGTCGAAGTTGCTTTATGAACACATCTTGGATGACTTGTTGCATTTTTATTTTCCCCTCTGGAGTTGCAGGTTTTTGTACTGTCTTTAATCCTGAGACCATGTGCTTGATCCTAAGGCAAATAATTCAATTAGTTTGATTTTAAAATTCCTTCCTTCTCCCCTGTGGTTTTATGAGAGTCTCTTAAAGCAAAAACAAATTCTGGAAAGATATAAATAACTTCTAGCGCAAGCAAAATGAGTTAACTCAAAGTTTCTCCAAAAATGAGATGGACTACAATTTGTACATTATAACTATATTAATATAATCCATTAAACAAAGCAAATTTATACAATATACTTATCTTGGATGATATTAAATACCTTTTGAAAGGGGTAAATTTGGGCTGCGTTTTTAGGACTGCCTTCAGCCAAATTGTGTTAAGAGTCAGGTCGTCCTGTTACTAAAAGGCACCGTGCCTCTTCCCTCTGACGCACGCGTTTCCGTGAGACTTGGTTCTCTTCTGCTCTTTTACAGGCAGTGTGTGAAGAAACCCTAAAGATCGGGCCTCAAGTAGGTCTCTTTCTAGATGCAGTCGTTTTTGGAGGAGAAGACTTTCGAGCCAGCATAGGTGTCAAAGACCTCTCTCTCTCTCTTTTTCTGTGTGTGTGTATATGTGTGTATATATTTTTTCTTTGCCCCTTGACATTTACATAACAATGTATATTTGCCAACCGTGACAGTGGTTTGTCATGACAATGGAATGGACACTACTTCCTGATAATTTAGAGGTCCTCATAGCTGCCCTGCTTCTAGAACACTACATGGTTACTTCTGTTCATTTACAGAAGACACGAGCAATAGAAAGCCTGCTGCAGCCCCAGGCGTGCTCAAGAATATATGGCATCTCCTTTGCTCCTAATAAATATATTATGTGAACAGCCTCACCGTTGCTTCAGTATTTTGTTTTCACATCCGTCCGTGGGCTGTCTAGATTTCTAATGCAAATTTAAGGCGATTTCACATTTGCCTTAATGAATTGTTTTCTGCAGAATATGCGGTATATAAATATTATTTTAAATGGATCTTAAATTTTTCTTACAATATGTTTCCGAACTCTTAGTATTAAATGTGCTGATTTTCACTGATTCTCACCATCCCTCGTGCGCTGCACTTGAGGGGTCTGCATGTGTGACTGGAGACCGTGAAGCATTTAGAAAAGAGGCTGAGGCCACAGAAACCAGCCCCAGTGACCTGAAGACAGGCACTTTCCCTGAGCAGGGAGTGGCATACTCCAAATATAAACAGGGACACTTCCCTCCCCTCAGGGTGAAAACACTGAATTTATTTGAATACGAGTCTTTCCAGGAGACTTGTGTATCCAACGGTTCAGCGGGCTACAGAAGGCATATCGACGCTTTCCAGCCCTCCCAAAACAAGTGCCCTCCCGTCTCCCCAAGTTCTGCATCCAGACAGACCCTGAAGCTGAAGCATTTGGCTCAGAACTTCAGTTTGGACAGGGCATGGCAACCACAGCACACACAGTTCTGTGCTTGCTGTGAAACACGAACCATTGCCCTGCATAGCTGCTGGGCCACCTTTTGTGGTGCTGTCTTTGGACTGGCACTTTTCAAGCATTGATAAGAAGGAAAAAAATATATCAGGAGTCCCTTGTGACCCTGACCCAGCCTCCCAGAATGGGGAAGGGGCCTTCTGAAAGGTGCCTTGTCAGTTAAACAGACACATACGAGATTTAACTTGGCCTCCACATATCCCTGTCTTCATTTATATTTGAATAATTATTTTGCAGAGGAGCAATTCCCAGGGAGGTATAGATATCTGTACAAACTGAGGTTTTATAATAAATATCTGGGTGCGGTTTCCAAAGTTAAAGCCTCCTTTTTCTGTTAACATCCCATTTTCAGGTGCAACAAGTAGTAAAGAAACCCTGGATATTCTCTACGCCAGGCAAAAGATTGTTGTCATAGCGAAAGCCTTTGGTCTCCAAGCCATAGATCTGGTGTACATTGACTTTCGAGATGGAGCTGGGCTTCTTAGACAGTCACGAGAAGGAGCTGCAATGGGCTTCACTGGTATGATTCCTGTCTTAGAAAGCAGTGTCTAAATTAGCAAGCATTCCAGAAAAATAGAAACTTAACCCGAAAACACTTCTAATCTCATCAGATATCTTATTCCGCTATTTGAAATATGAACAAGACACACAGGGGAAGAACTTGCCAGACACATTGTCATGGTTTTCTTTGGCCCTGCAAGTCAACAAATCACTCATTTTATTTCCTCTTTATATTAGTTGCTTTTTTTTTTCCTCCATCCTCTTAATCATTTTGTTGTGGTCTTGGCTGACCTGTAGGGAGGGATGAGGCTGCTAAGAGTGTTTTTGAGTGAACCGCCATAAGAATTTTGGTTGATGGATAGAAGAAAAATCTCCTAGAATATCCAAAATTTAATTTATTTCTGAAAAAATGTTGGTGATACTATCTTTGGTTTTTGTTTTGTTTTGTTTTTTACTCATAACTAGTTGTTTGCTCTTCTGCCACTCCAAGCCCCTCCTCTCTCTCCCACCTCCCAGTAAGTGTCCGTATACCTGGCGACACCTACGGGCATAGGCTGGCACTAGGCTCAGCCGGCCCCTTGCAGTCCGGTCTGGGGCACAGGTGGCTATCTGTTGATTGGTGTGCCTGGTCACTCAGGTCCCCATGAGCCAGGGGAGCGACTGAAAATTGTGTTTTTACAACAGAGATCTATTTTTCGAAAAACCACGATAGGAGTCTACACACAAACATCCACATGAAGTTGCACACACACAAACTGACGACCATGGGAAAAACACAGTGTGCTCCTTCACTCTTACCTGTTCTTCTGTTGAAAGTTCTAAGAATATTAGTATCAGAAAGGTACCCGAATAATAAGGAAAAGAGATGAACATCCTGATGTTCCCGGTATAACTGTTTTTGAATTGTATCTAGGTAGCGGTTACTGAAAGAAACGTTTCATAAAGCAGGCTTAAATGTAAAAAATACCTTAATGGATGATGATTTAGTCCAAAATAAAATTGAATGACCTAAGAAGCTATTTTAGTGTTATATTCGAATTAAATAAAGCTCTGAGTTTGTTCTTGTGTTTTTTACACAAAGAGCTAAAATAAATATGATCCCCCCCAAATTTTTAAATAAATGTGATCCCATATAGGGAAATAATCTTCAATTACCTGAACTATTAATAAACAAATTCTCCCTGCGTTTCATAGTGACTGAGGAAAAAAGGAGTCCTCTGCCACATCCATGTGATTGTGCTTGTTCCTGCCTCTTTCCAACGACTGGTTAAGATGTGACCCAAATGAAAAAGTTGGAGAAAAACTCCATGAAATTTATCTAATAGACCCTGATGTTGTTGGCCTGCAATGTATGGCACTGGCTGCTAGGCAGCCAGATGTTGCTCCAAAATGGGAACTAATTCAATAAAAAAGAGAAAGCACTGCATTGACACTGACCCCTCCACGATCACTCAGCAGAATCTGAGTTTCCTCTGCCTCCTCTGGGGTAAATGTCTGCCCCAGAACTTCTCCGGGAGCTGAAGAGTGTCTCCAAGATACAGGACTGAATTAACTTGGCCCCTAATTCAATCGCAGAAGACAGGCTATTTCAAATCAGGTTTAAATTTCTAGACTGTGCCCAACTCAGCACAAGGAGCTTATGGACCTGGCACTATTGTTTCTCCACGACGGGGAGTATTAAATCGCTAAAAAAAGGGGGGAAGCGAGGATAATGGGAAGGCGCAGAGGGCACAGTGCCCATTATATATTCAAGGGAACCAGGCCATAACTAGGGAGCCACACTTCGTAGGCAGTTTGCAATTTTTAGAGAGAAAGTCTTTGTTGTCCCAATTATATTTCTGCATACCAATAAGAGGTAATCAATCTGATAATAAGATAGGAGATTATTTGTAGTCGTTTTTAAAAATAAATGTTTTTTAATGAGTATTTTAGACCACTCAGGATCTGTTTGTCCTAGTTGTTTGGGATTTGATTGCCATACCTTGGGCTTTGCACAAGGAGAAGGAAAAGAAGGAAAGAAAAAAGGAAAGGAAAAGTGGGGAGGAGAGAGGGAGGGATGGAGGAAGGAAGACATGTCTTATCTGAAGCAGGTGGTTGAAAGGTTTAAAATCCAATGAAAGTATTGTGTTATCCATAACACTGGTAAGGAAGACTAAGTCTGTGCTATAAGGATTTCCTGTACTTTTAAAAATGATATATATTTTTAATGAGTTGTAGTTTCTAAAAGTTAGCTGTAGTTTCTTTTCTGCGGTCATTTCCCAGAGTCACAGTCCATGTCGATTGATTTTAAATCAATGCATTGGCTGTATAAATGGCCATTAACTTTAGGAATTTTTATATAAAAAAGAAGCCAAAACTAAATCTTGGAATAAAGCTTTAACAGCTGACTTCATCATTACAGTTACTCCAGTGCTACATGCTGAGAAGAAAGATTATAAATATGAAGCACTATAGGTTTTCTTCTTTTTTGCAGTCTATTGTAGAAGACAAAAATGACACCATCATACAGTTACCTGAAAGACTTGACAGGTATTGATTTAAAGCACGATATATCAAGCGGTACTGTAAAAAGGATTTCATGGTCATAAATTTTAATGTCTTCCAATTTTGCACCCTCTCAGTAACTTGTCAATAACGACTCTTCTGTATAAAATATTTGCCTGGTTCCCACATGGCATTAAAGTCTGCTGTACAGTTGTTGGAATAGCTAAGATGTGACGAAAGAGAACTTCACATCTGAGTGCCCATACATTTCTAAAACCTAACATGGATCTTAAATTAGCCTCATTGCCAAAATATAGGCACCGGAGGATGGAGAGCTAGCAGTGATTTCACAGTACTTTAAGTAGTTTGTGTTTTGCTCCTCAAATTATAGTGCATGTACCAAGAAGTTCCCATGAAATCTGGCTTTTTACACATTGGTGTAAATTATGTACATAAATTATGAAATTCAGGGCTAACAATTAGTAGGAAATGACTACCAGAACTGACATCCTTTATTAACAATATCCTAACAACTATTAGATTACTTAAATATAATCTCAATACCTACTACTGAAAAAAGCCCTCTTGTCATCCCTCATGTTATTCGTTCTCAGAAATTATTCCTCAGGTAATTTAAAGAATCTTTATTTATAAAAGTGTTTAACATTTTATTAGTATGCTGACAGAAAAGAATGGAATAGCAATGTGAGGATGTTTTAATTATGCCAATGGAAAGAAAAGATATTATTATATTTATCCACTTAAACTCTTTTACATGAAACACTAAAAATGTGTTTTTACAAGCATCATTCCTTTTTTCATTCTAACAGAATAATGACAAGTAATAGGAACTGACAGCAAGATATAAAACATCAAGGATATAATTCGTACTGTCTAAATGTTAAAATAACTATTTCAAAAGCAAAGCAAATTGATGTACCAACAAATATATTTAGCAGAGTAAATGTTCATTAAGTGTACATTATTTTTAAAGAGCCAATTATGTTCATAACTTTATCACATAGCACAATATAATCTCATCATTATTATAACATTAAATTATGTTGCATTTTATTAATGATCTGATTGGATTCCACACTTCCCTGATTGTTAAATTGTTTTTTTAACGACTGCATTATTTCACAAAATCCTATGGCTCTTATCTTTGTATGATGTTTTCATTTAAAATCTTTCAACTATAAAAAGAATCATAAATCTTTTTGGAAGATATTTCTACAGAGATAAGATTTCTTCTGGGATATGTAGGGAGCTATACAGAGGGAAATACCCAGTCTTGATTCTATAAGCCAAAAGGGAAAATCTGGGTATATTTTTGGACAGAGAAACTTTAAGTATCTATTTTTAAATTTTTAAATGGAGTAATCCAGAGGCTGCAGTGTTCAACTCTGCCTTCTATTTTACCATACTGAATAAAATATTTTCATTCAAATCCAATTTTCTATTGGGGGTTAGAAATGACACATAAACTATGTTCGTCTAAAAGAAAAAAAATTAAATATACTATTGTAAGACTGTATTTGATAATAATATAGTTGTAATGACTGCATCTGTAAGCTTTATGAAAACCAGCAGACCATTTCTAAGAGAAATCATGGAAAGAGGTATAATTCTACAAAGAAAGCAAAAGATACCTTATAAAATTTGAGAGAATTCTCATTTAATTTTTTCTACTTCAACTAAAAATAATCCCTCTAATTTGCAGACATTATCCTTTAAAGTCCCAGCCAAAGCAGTTATTCAACAAGCTGCCTCATCAGCCCACCTGTAACTAAAAATAAGAGATTATCTGCCCTAAGGTGGCATTTCTATAGGATCGGAAACACAATTACTTCCATTGTTGTAGTTTTGCTTCTGTGGTTATTCTGGAAAAGCCTGTCTGATTGCAGGTTTTGTTTTGTTTTGTGTTCTCAATAAAAAGTTTTAAATTAGTTATTTAACATACAGTCTATGAGGCCTTCAGGAACCTCACGCGATAGAAACATTTTGTTTGAACATCTGTTCGTTGTTTCGTGGTTCCGACGTTATTAATCTTCTTGTAGGTAAGCAGGTGATTCACCCTAACCAAATTGCCGTGGTCCAGGAGCAGTTTTCTCCTTCCCCTGAAAAAATTAAGTGGGCTGAAGAACTGATTGCTGCCTTTAAAGAACATCAACAATTAGGAAAGGTAAATGTTTTGTCAATGCCTTGGCTGAAAGTAGTGTTGAAAATATTGTCGGGAAGAATGAAACAAATATGTTGTGTGAATGGTTTAAGAAAACTCATTGTATCTGGGGAGGGGGGAAAGGGAGGGAACAACATTCACCAGTGAGAAAATTGCTTGAGGTAGATTTGCCCTGCCCATGTTCCTAAATATTTCACTAACTGGCTCTCAAGTCTCTCATTTTATTCTTTTCATAAAATATATTGGCAGCCTTAGAGAAAATAGAAGTCTGTTTAGTTTTTCTCTACAGACTTCTATGCAGCATTCATATGAAAATAATCTTAGATCAAAGTGAGAACAAGTTGTAATGAAATAAACACAGTTTGACTAAATGGTTCTTGTGGAGGAAAGAAATAAATTTCAAGTTATTTTAATTTGGGGGGGGAAAAAGTACAGACATCTCCTCCGGTTTAGTCATCTGAGAGTGGGAGGTTGTATATGTGTTTGTACCGATTTCTGGACCTGAGATTTGGATGGAATGGAAAGCAAATTAACACTGGAGTACGGTTGTTCCTAATTTAGTGCATCATTGAGCCTCGCGTTTCCTGCTCTGTGGGTTTCTGCTATGTAAATATTGCAGTGGTAATGCACAATCTGTCTCCACTTTGTGCCAGTAACACTTAAATTAGGTGTCGCCTGAAGGAAGATTTTATGCTAGTTGCAGCATTGTCAGTTAATTATCTTAAAGGTTATTTGCAATAATACCGTTTGCCTCTTTTTAAGAGGATAGGAGGGAAAGTTACATTATAAATCTATTCTAGAGGTAATCTCTAAACTCAGCCTCGTGACTTCCAGAAGAAGTAAAGTTTTGATACCTACAATGCAAAATTACTTAGGAGAAAGAATATTGAAAATTTATTACAGTTCTGAATATTAAACATTCCCCCCTGCAAAAAAAAGAAAGAAAAAAGAAAAGAAAGAAAAAAGAAAAACTGGTTTTTAGTGGTGAACCTGAACCTGTGACATCCATGTGAGACATGTTCCTTGCACTTTTCACTGGCGGCAAGGACACTTGAAAATCCCAGGACTTGCCAAAGTGGGTAACAATATTAAATGGGTCATTCCCTAAGGAAGTCCATGTTCAACCTATGCACACATGGGCACAGTCACACACCAGCAGGCTCATCTTTGCACAAACTCACACTTAATATCCAAAGGCAGAATATGTTACATTGGAAATATCCAATTTGGACTTATACCAATTTCATGATAAACAGCATCCTTCCATTTCCCATCAACAGTGGCCATCAGAAAAGTAATGCATTTCATAGAAACAGTATTTTAAGTTGACCTTGTGTTTAATGTCCATTTTTGTGTCTTAACCCCAAATCAAGATTCCCATGAATAAATCTAGATATTCACCTAGAATGAAGAGCCATGGACTCCCATGCACACGTGCAAATAACTCCATCCACCCCCTTCTCTCGCATACCTGCCCACACACACCCACACTGAATGCTCTGTACCTCTGCTATGAGCCTTGTGCCAGCTGAGGACATAAACACTTCCTGGTGAAATAGGAAACTGGGGCAACATGTAAACCGTTGAAAGGAGAGAGCAGAGTTCCAGTCTGGACCAGCACTGTGTCTATGACCCATCCCAGCTGGGTTTCACACTGGGTAGCATCAAAGGAGGCCAGTTGGCATTGTAAGCAGACAGGGGTGTGGGAGAGGTTACCCTGGATTTCAGTAGCCAACAAACAGAAGTCAAACCAGAAACACGTGTTTTTCTTAGCATTTACGTTTTTGAATGAGGAAAATGACCCTTTCCCGTTGTATCTTGAAAAGTGTTGTTCCTTGGGAAAATGCTCCCAAAGTTGCCATACCTTTTGATGACGGCAACTTAAATGTTCAATTCTGGACTTTTTTTAAATAAGAAATGCCCTCTTGTTGGGGCATAAGCTCTCACAACAGTGTGACAGGATGGCTTTTCTTAACACAGAACCATAGAAATTAGAGCAGAGGGGAGACTAACTATTAGGTAATTTCTTCCCTGCCCTATTTGTGGAGGTTTGTTTCCTACAGCAAATTCTCCTGGTGTTTTGTCCAGCAAGGTTGAAATGATTCAAGTAATGGGGCTTCCAGTAGGGACATATGGTTATTTTATCCAGTTAGCATGTTTCTTTCACTTTGCCTATAAACTGGCCGGTCACAGAAATTGGATCTGCAGGTAGGTGACTCTGGATCTTGAGGGGATCTTGGGGTTTAAATAATGTGGGTTCTGTTTGTAAAGATTTTGTGTAAATGGGTTGCACAATTGTATAAAGTGTTGCTTCCAACAAACATCTAGTCTATGTCAAATGTGAATCACTGATGAACACATGAACCCTTAGATATTTTGTCCAAAGCGCAGATGACTCTCTCAAAGATAGGAAACTGGTGGTTTGTGTCCTAGTGTGACAGTCATAAATTTCCAAAAGACCTTTTTCCTCCCTCTGATGAAAATTTCATTCAAGTAATGCTTTTATGTAGAAATGACCCAAGAAGGAAAAATTATGTATCTTTGCTTTTCTCTACTTCTTCCTGCTCTCATCTTAAATTATATCCTGCCCAAACACCAAAGGTATAGCTGAAGTTCACAGTTAGTGCTGAGCCATTTGTGTTCTCTACAGTAATAATCATTACTATTATTCAAACATAAAAGCTCTACCTTTTCTTCCTGTCCTCTCCAAATGGCAAAATTCATGGGACAACTTTGACCATGAGCAGATAAATTATTGGGGATCAGACTTTGGTATCACAGAATTTGGGGGATGTTTATTTTAATTAAAAGTCCTAAGGAAATAGTTTGATATCCTTAGTATAATGTTGGTTGACAATCACTTCACATTAAAAGAAATAACAATCAGCTCATATCATCTGTCCCTGTTTGGCAGGCAGTGATTCTTGTGGCTGCTTTGTTTCAGGAAACTGAAAGGTATTTTCAGGCTACAAAATTTTGCCTGGCACAGTAGTCCAGTGACAGTAATCAGAGTTAGGGCTAGAGACTGACACTGGGGATTCTAGGTTATCTTATCTTATTAACATCTGCTGGAAAAAGTTTAGACATTCTAAGTAATCTCTGCTCCTATGTTAATTCCCAGAAACTAAAATGTCTTCAATTTAGCCGACATCAGCTGTAAGGTCTCCATCCACAATACTAATCAAACTGACTTTCTTCCATCCTTCCAGAAAAATGTATTTTGAGATACAACCTGCATACCATTAATTGTTCTAGTTTCAAATTATTTGGTAAAATGCTTTAGCCAGGATAAATCATTTCCACATAATTTGTTTTAAATTTATAAAGGATTTTCTTAAAAGTTAATTCCATTTTTATGTCTTTTTTATAATAATGGTGATTCCATTAATATTGGAAAATTATTCATTCAAAATGAATTTAATATGCTTATTAAAGTAATATGATTTCAATAATCCTTTTTTATCAATAAAGAATTTTGTATAGTATAAAAATTGGATACTTGAAAACATCTGAAGCAAATAATCATCTAATATTAATTGATATCAATAGAAATAATTTTATATAAACAAATACATATAGCATACATGTTTATACAACATATAAACATTCAAGTATATATGATAACATATATTTGCTCAAATCTATATTATGAACTTAGTGCTAAAGTTTTTAATCTTTCCGTATTCATCACTTCTTAGGCAAAAATGACAGCTAAAGGAAACAGTTGCTTTTTTAAAACAGTCACTAATCACAGGAAATCTTAATATAGGAATTTACCATTTCTTTCCAAATGGAGACTCTAACAGAAAAATGTGAAGGAATAGCACAATGTGTTATGTGTGTCAAATTTTTAAAGATACTTTGCTAGAATATTCATATTTTGAAGTATCTGGCTACAAATACGGCTTTGCTTCATTTTCAGTTTTCCGAACATTCTCTTTGATTCATATAATGGATGTACGTGCTTTGTTTGGTTTTGGAAGGATTTTGTTTAGCTTTTTCAATATTTCTCCTTTGTTATAGCTTCACAAGTTGGCTAAAGCCTGAGGAAGGGGAAGTGTTCATCTTTAAATTCTGGGTTCAACTAACAATCACAAATGTCAAAAACAAGGTCACTACCTGACCTAACAACTGTGAATATCACAGATAGCCAACACTCTCATTTCACTGCGGAGAGAAAAACAGTGCAAGCTGATAAGTTCACATTAATAAGCACATCTTCTACTGGAATATAAACTGGAAACGTATCTCTTAATAAAGAAAGAAAAAGGAAAGTAAGAGTTTTCTTCCTTATGTAAGTCTCTCCATCTAGAAACTTTACGAACAGTAACACATCCCTCCTCCCAAAATATTGAAAGCAGATCATTTTCATAGGTGTCTGATTGCCGCTCGCACACCTTTCATTTCTGTTTCCAATTGCAAGGTTTTACAAAAGAAATACTGCTTGGTCCAGATGGCCTTCTAGAAGGCTCCCTGAGAGAACTCAGGAGAAGTTTCTCTAGCCAAAAATATTGTTTCCGCTTATTCAAGTGCCAGAAATCCCACTGCCACTCTTTCACGCAGATCGAATAAACCATCTAAAGATGTGGTTGCTGTCTTTGTCAACTGAAAGGGTTGATGCCCCTATTAGACGACAGTGTATCCTCCCACACCCATCCAGCCCACCACCCACAGCATTCCCTCTGGATTTATGAGCAGGAACACAAAAATCAGAGCTGAGAGGTTTGTAGTGAAAATGAAAGATAAAGGGACATAACTCTATTTTTGAGATTCTTAGTAATTGCACTTTTCCCTTTATTTCCCTGTTCATTTAACATTTTCAGAAAGATCGGCCATAATTTTGACTTTTAAAAGTCCAGTTCTTAGGAAAG